AGAGCGCCCACCCAACCACCGACAGAGCAAGGGGGCACCCAGGGCAGGCCCCTGCCACAGGAAAGGGGCCAACCAGCCGGCCCAGCATGGCCCCCAGCCACCACCAAAGGCCACCAACCCAATCCCCACCCCCAGAAGACATACTACACCCACCCTAACATTCGGGCCACTATCAGAACATATAACACAAAGACACCCGGGCTGGGTCGACCCCCCCCACGTGACATGGGGGCTGACATGGGTCGGCCCCCATGTCACGCCCCCAGCCAACCCTACCCTACCCAAATAAAAATTTCCAATTTACTCTATCAAATGCTTTTTTCTGCATCTAGAGACAAAATAGCCATTTCAATATTTTTACTGTATGAATAATCTATTAAATTATATAATTTACGTGAGTTTGTAGTCAAGTGTCTTCTTTTTATTAAACTGGCTTGGTCAGGATGAATTAAGAAAGGAATTATCTTCTCTGATCTTTTAGAGAGAGCTTTACAAATTATTTTAACATCAATGTTAATAAGGGAAATGGTATGATAACTTGTAGGTAGTACTGGGTCTTTACCTGGTTTTAATAGGAGACTGATGTTGGCCGAATTCATTTGTTATGGAAGCCTGCCATGTTCCTCTGATTCCTGAMGCATTCTGAAAAAATACTGGTGCCAGAATATTCCAGAATTCTTTATAAAATTCTGCTGGGAACCCGTCCGGACCTGGGGTCTCATTTATAAAGGATTGCGTGGAAACCATACTAAAAGTGAACGTACGGCCAAAAGGCGGAAATGGCGTATGACAAAAAAAATTCAGATTTATAAAACAGTGTGTACGCATGTTTCTGAGCATCTTTCCTTTATAAATCACAGCCGCACGTCAGAGTTTGCGCACGAGGTCCCGCCTCAGATTCTACCCTCTACATACCCACACTCAACCATAAACAGTCAATGCAAAGTACCTCATGAATGTTAAGATGTATTTAAATCAGTCAGATGCTCAATGCCAACAAAAGTACTTGGTTCAGACACGCTCTATCGTGCGTCTGGAGGTTGACAAGTGCTGACTGACAGCTGCTCACGTGAACAGAATGTCTGTAATTGACACAGATTTTCCCTCATTTTGCTTTAGAGTAATCTAACGATTTTTATAAAAATCTCAGCTTCAAATTAATTTTCTCACAGAGCCTGCAGGACGATAAAAACAACAAAAAAAAATTAAATTAAGTCAGATAAAATTAAAAGTAAGTCCACCGCTTTTCTCCTCATCCTCTCCCCCTCCTGCCTGCTCTGTTATCCGCGGCAGACACCCGCCCCGCACCCCCACACACACACACACACACACACACCCCGCGCGTGACAAACACGGACTTTAAACGTGGTTTTATGACATCCACACTGGCAAGGTGGGCGCGCCCTGCACGTGTATCTAAAGCGTGACTTTTGCTGTCCAGCTGTTCTTGTTGTGGAGGGGTCTGTGGGTCAGGGAGGGGTCTGTGGGTCAGGGTCGTCTGAGGACGAAGCAGATGAAGGGTTTGTGCACGGGAACTTTTATTTAAGATTTAAGTTTTTTTTTTTTAATTTCAAAGGTCCTCATGGCTCAGCAGCAGAAGCATAAATATTCCTGTTAAGAAAACTGATGATAAAGTTGAATAAAAATCTAAGTCTGATGAAGTGAAATTAAATATCTGACAGTGATCATGACGCAGTGTGGCTCTAATTCCTCACTTCACCATCTGTGTCGCAGTTTCACGTCTCCAAGATGAGCGTACGCATGGGTCAGAGCTGGCGTGAGGCACCGTACATTTTCACTCAAGTTTGGATTTTATAAATCACAACCTTGGCGTAAAAAGTGGCGTACGCAAATTTCTGGGCTCAAATTGTGCGTACGCCAGTTTTATAAATCTAACCCCTGGAGCTTTCTTGTTTGGCATGTTTTTAACAGCTCCACATAATTCAGCTGATGTTATTGGAGAGTCTACTTCTAAAGACTGGTTACTGGATAATTTTGGAAGTGACACTTTTCCAAAAATTGTTCAATATCCTTATTTGAAGGGTTTGTCTAGTTGTTGTGTCAAGAATTTAGTTTTTGTCTATGTATTCATTTAACTCTAATTTTGCCTTCCGCATTTTTTGCTGTATTTCCTCGCCTTGCAAAGTTCCTAACAATTTGATGGCTTCCTCTAAATAGTGAATACTTTCATTTTTTTCTTTTTATTTGTTGAATATGATATTATCTTGCCTCTCATAACTGTTTTCCCTGCCTCCCAGAGAGTAGATGCTGATGTTCCTGGTAAGTCATTATACTCTAGATATGATGTGCATTCCTCTTTAAAATATTTTAGAAACTGTTCATCATTGAGCAATGATGTATCGAATCTCCAATTTATGTTTGTTTTTATTTCTTTCTTATTACCTACGGTTAAAGAGACTGGTGCATGATCACTGACAGCAATAGGGTGTATCTCACTGTCTAAAATGTTGGTCAGCAATGAAMTTCTGACTAAAAAATAGTCCAGGYGAGAATAAGAGTGATGAACATGTGAGAAGAACGTATATTCTTTGTTGTCAGGGTGAAGAACACTCCATGCATCGCAAAGTCCATAATCACTCATATATTGTTTAACTATGTTTGTGGATTGCCAACTGCGCTGAGCTCCAGCCGTATTCATCCTGTCGATGTTGTTATTTAGAACAAAGTTGAAATTGCCTCCAATAATCAATGAGCAATCCAGGTGATTTGATAGAACAGAAAAGAAATCATGAAAAAAATGAGGCACCATTCACATTTGGACCATATAAGTATGCTTGCAATACAGTATTTTTGGCTAAATAAAGAAATTTTAATATTATATATCTACCTTCGGGTCAATAACTGTATCTAATACTGTGAAGTTGATAKTTTTATGTATTAATATTGCTACCCCTATTTGTCTTGAATTATAACAGGCTGAGAATATGTTAGGGAACTCAGGAGATTTAAAATCATCCACAGTTGAATTTAGTTTTTGAATTTCTTGTAGTAATACAATATCTGCCTTTAATCTTTTAAGCTGGTAAAAAATTCTATTTTTTTTTTTCAGTTTGTTACCAGCCCCATTCACATTCCAAGTGACAAATCTTAAAGTGCCCAGCCGTGTACATGTAAAAATAAAGTAAAACCACATTATTTATCATAGAAATAAAAGGACCCAGGGAAAATCRTAATCACTGATTGTTGACTATGTAAAATTTTGACGGTAGTAATATAGAAAAAAAAAAGATGTAGGTGCTGTGACGATATGTGAAGCATATTCTTTATGAAGCATTTGAATGTATGGGAAATAATTGAGCATGAGTATGTGTGTCTGTGTGGAAATAGGTTTGCATCAAAATAAGAAAAAACATAAAAGAAGAAAGTGATGTAATAATAAACGAAGAAAGAAAAATAAAGAAGAATAAAGCCATGGAGTTATACCCGGGTCTCTAAACAGCTGACCGTTAATGAAAAGCTTATTTACRGATATAACAGCCCTTCTGCCTTCAGTGATGTTTTTTTTTTTTTTTTTCTGATCGGAAACAGAAAGCGTCTTCTATCCAGAATCTGTTTTGGAAATTGATCATTTACGCTGAAGTTCCTACCACGCAACTCCCTGCCTCAGCTCTTAACTTTTTTTTTTTTTTTTAATTTTATAATGCTCAAATTTAGCTATAATTGGCCGCGGTAGTTTGCTGTTAGGCTTCTTACCTCCCAGTCGATGTACCCGGTCAAACTTGATCTTGTTCACCGTATCTCGTGGAAGGTTCAGCTTTTTCTCAATGAAATCACGGACCGATTCCTCCAGGTCATCCTCCGCTTGCTCTGGTATCCCCGAAAAGACGAGGTTGTCCCGCATACTCCGGGCCTGCATGTCCAGGATGGACTCTCTCATCCTTTTTTGCTCTCCACATAGCTGTGTCATCTCCTCGGTGAGTTCTTTAACCGACTCCCTCAGCTGGTTATTTTCTTTTTCAAGCGAAGTTACCTGTTTTTGGCTAAACTCTAGAGACTCCCTTAGAAGCTGGAATTCCTTGTGGAGAACCTCCACAAGGGCGAGTCGGCCATCCAAGCTAGTTAGCTTCTGCTCAATAGACTCCAGGATATCTGTGAAACTTGTTTTATCTGGAGATGTAGTGTTGTTGGAGCCCTCAGAATGGTTACGTTTCGCTAGCGGGGTGCTAGCCGTTGAGCTACCTGCAGATGTTAGCTTTGGATTGCCCATAACGATTCTTTCAAAGCACTCGTCAACAAAAAACTCCAGACTCTCCAAGGATTCTTCGTCCAGTTTTTTTGTTAAAATGGAAGTTTAATAATGCTTAAGACAAATTAATTTTTTGCATGGGTATTATGTTTTACCTGAGAGAATTATGTTTACCTGTTTTCCACCATTACTTACGCACAAGTTCTCGCGAGATCTCAGCAGCAGCAGCTCATCCTCTCTACTGAGTCTCACTATCACTTCAAGCCAGATTAAATACCAGCTGACTGGTGGAACAGATCCAATCACTGCAGGATTATGGTGTGCATATTTTTTCTCCTCTTGATTTGAATTCACATATTTATAGAATGAATGGAATTTCAAATCTAGCTAAACAAAATACTTCAAATAAAATATACTTCAGTAACATTATAGATTAGAAAAAAATATATTTTAAAAAGTTCAAAGTACATATTATGTGCTGCGAGTAAATGTAATTTGCAACTTTCCACTTAAAAAACACCCACAGCTGCAACAAAGTACTGTACGTGTATCATTGAAAATAAAAGATTTAAAACAATAAAAAATGTTATAACAATCTATATAAAAATATATACCGTAACTAAATGGAAATGAAAGATTGAAGAGCACAATTCAAAGCACTAATCATTTCTTAGCCGAAGGCTAAGCAATAAAAACACAACACCAAACAAAGTGTATATTGGAGTCTATTGAAACAATATGTTTTTTCTCATATAAACTAATTATTTATGAGTTTAGCTCCATTCTTACTTACATATGTTGGGAGAAATCAGGTGCCTCATCATTGACATTGGCCATTCTAATCCGTACTGTTGTGGTGCCTGTGCGAGGGGTCTCTCCCTTGTCAATGGCCATGACAACAAACTCATACAGGTGATTGGGTCTTTCGTAGTCCAAAGGCCCCGCTGGGAAGATGGTCCCATGAGGGGAAATGGAAAAATCTGGACTCAGGGTATAATAGGTAAGCTCTGCATTCGTGCCTGAGTCACAGTCACTGGCTGACACTAAAGAAAATAGACAAGAACAGAAAAAAATAAAATAATTTAGAAGAGCTAAACACCAACAACACTGAACCTTAATGATGACAAATCTACAGAATCTAAGTTAATGAAGTAAAAAATGCAGAAAAGCTTAAGGGTTTTGCAGCTGCAGTGGCTGTATGAATGTGTTCAAATGTATCAATAAGAATTCAATTAAATTCAACTTCAAAAATACTTTATTGATCCCAGCGGGAAGTTAGGTAAGAAACTGTGTAAAGTACTTTAAAGAAGAACCTGAAGACATTAAACAAGTATTGTGTAATTATTGAGTATTTACTGTTTTACCAAAATGGAGAATGTACACACACACAAAAAAAAAAAAACATTTTTTGTTTATCCCTGTAAAGGGTTTAGAATATAGTAGATTTGTTCTATTTATTTGGCTTTTTTTTTTTCATTTCAGTGCTTTCAACGAAAGCAATGAATTCCTACAGTCTGTGTGACAAATGCAATGATGGAAAAAAGTGAAGCTCCCACTCCTTTAAATGTTGGCCTCTGCAGCACAAGTTAAGTGATATTTACACAGCAAGAACTGTAAGGACAGTCATTTTGAAACACTTCTGCTCTTGCAGCACACATTGGGAATCCATGAAGCCAAGACCAAATGGCCACAAATTGATTGCCTTGCTAAAACTGAAAAGACCACCAGGGAGTTGAATAAGCATATTTTACACTAACAAGAACATTTCACCATCAAAAACTCAATTCTCCAATTCACCTTACACTGCATTTAGCTCATATGCCCATACAAACAAAACATACACATAATACATGCA